GCTTGTTTACTCCTGCCTGATCAGAGACATCATCAAGCATGACCCTGCTATGTGGCCCAATGAGCTGCCACTCTGCCTGCCTGCTGTGTGTGTGTGTGTGCCCTGATTGGTCCTGGCTGGGAGGAGGGCTTTTGGGAACAAACTATATAAGGACTGAAGTGCGCAATAAAGAGGAAGAAGCCTGAACCTCACCTTGGTGTCTGTGTTGTCTTTCCTTGGCTCTGCTGGATGGAGTCGTGGCTTGTGGCAATAAGGTTCTGATAATCTAGGATTCTCTGCTCCTCCAGCCCGGTCTCTTGCCATTTGTGCCCCATTTTCTATGCTTCAGGTATACTGAACAAACCCTAATTCGTTCTAATCCACTGTACAAAAGCCAGCTCAGCTATTACTCTCCATGCTGACCTCTAGCTAGATTTCCATTCATATTAGAACTTGAAGCACAGGCTTAGAGATGTCTCAGCACTGGATGCTCCTGCAGGGGACATGGTTTGGTTCCCAGCACCCATATGGATGCTAACAACCATCTGTAATTCCTGTTACTGCCATCTTCTTCTGACCTCCAAGGGACTGCTTGAACATGGTGTACTTATATACATGCAGGCAAAATACTCATACACATAAAAAGAAGTAAATTTTGTAATGAAAAAAAAAAGAGGTTGGGGGCTGCAGAGATGGCTCAGTGGTTAAGAACACTGGTTGTTCTTTCAGAAGACCCAGGTTCAAATCCCAGTACCCACATGGCAGCTGACAGTTGTCTGTGACTCCAGTTCCAGGTGATTTGACAGCCTCTTCTAACCTCCGTGGACATTGCATGACACGGGTGCACTTACCTACATGCAGGCAATACACGCATACACATAAAATAAAAAAAATTAAAAAAGAGCTTGAAGCTCTCTACTAATTGAATTTTATTTCAGTTGTATGAAGATTAAAAACACTGTGAAGTGAAGGGATTGAATTCAAACTTTCAATCAGTGTGTGTAATAATGATGCTTTAAAATTTTAACTAATATTTTTAATGTACAAAACAATGAGTTTCATTATGACATCTGTTATATATATATATATATATATATATATATACCATTATATTTTTCTCTTACCCACCTCTCTTCTATCTTCTGTTGATGTTTCTGCCATTAAATAGTTCCCCTTCTGTTTTCATGCCATTATATAAGCATATATATATATACACACATTATATTTAAATCTAGGTTTCACATATGATCAAAAGTACATGATACAGTCGGTACTCCTTCCCAGTTGCTGTCCATTTTCCTCCCCTCCCTTCAGCCCCCTCCACCTCTCATGCAGTCCCTCTTCTGCTTTCATGTCCTTTATACACCTTAGTATTTGATACCAGTCTAGGTTTTATCAGGAATACAAAAGTTCTGGTCACCCTGGTTTTAGATGTTCCTTACTTTGTGGAGACGTCTGTGCTATTTTGTTGTTCTCTGTTTTCAAGATGGAGAAACAGGAAGAAGGAAAGTATGAGTTGTTACTAGGAAGAAATAAGAAGATTGAGTGGCAAAAGGTGGGGCAGAGAGACGGGACGTGCTGTGTGTGTTAGGTTCCCCATTAGCAAGGAGCCTTCATTCTCTGAAGAAGAAAGGGCTCTAACACAAATCATATGTAGCAGGTAGGAAAGACTGTGTCTTGGGGTGTCCACTGGGTAGATGCTTGCGACTTGTGTTACTGCTTTTAAAATTCCATTGGGAAAGGTAAGCAAAAGTTCATTTAGTATTCTTTCAGAAATCTAAATTCACCATATAGAATTCTTGTTCTCAACCCTGCACACTCCTTTAGATAGCAAACACTTTGTAAAGTCACTTTATTAACCTGAAGTGAAATCCACAGCTCAACATAATCTACTTCCATATCTAATTTTAAGGAAAAGACATAGATGTAATGCTCTAACTATAACATAAAGAATAAATTATGGGCCAGAGAGGCAGCTCATCCATCTCTTCCATCCTCTGCTCTTGCAGAGGACCCTGGTTTTATTCCCTGTCCCCACATGGTGGATCACAACTGCCTGTGACTCTGGTTCCTGGGGGATCTGACACCCTCTTCTGGCCTCTGCCAGGCAAAACACTCATACACATAAAATAAAAGTAAATAAATCTTTAAAACAAAAGAATAAATTTATAATAATCTGTGTTTCTAGTTGTGAATATGTTGACTCAACTACAATAAGATAAACAGTATAGTACTCACAGTGTTGTTGAGGTGATTAAAGGAAACTCAATGAAAATTGTAGGAAAAAAAGCCCTTATGCTTATGAAATACAGTTAGGTTTTGAGGCTTGGGCAAATAGGAGTGCTGTATCCCCTTTGCCCTATTCTGAAGTCATGCAGTTAGGCAGACACAAACACAGATCGGTGTAGATCAAAGGGAGATTTCTTCCCCCCACTACTGGAAGAAAGATTGTAATAGAGCTTCCAGAAGTGGCTACTTTCCTTTGTGTCTCCCTAGATGTGGGTCTCATGAGGCTTGAGTAAATGTGTAACATGGTATGGGACTCTAAGCACACATTTGCTCTCATTTCATTCTCTGACAGGAATTTACCATGAAGCTTGCTCCAGAGAATGCTTTTCCCAATTGGATTTTTTTACAAAATCTGAAAACAAAATAAAGAGCTTGGACTGATGTCTGCTTTTAACATGTACTCAGCACTTTATAAACCAAAGGTAAGAGGCTTCACTGTATAGAATTTTCTTCATCCTAATGCAAAATAATTGATAGTAATTCAGTGATTTTCATCCTGTGCTGATTTGAAGGCTGGCCATCTTTCACAAATAATGTTCAAAGTGAAAAAAAAATTTTCCTAATTACATGCTTATAATTGCTATTTCAAAATGAGATTGAGGCTGGCTATA